GAGGACGCCTTCTCCCAGATCCAGCCCAGCATTAAAGACCAGTTGGCCAAAGAACAAATCAGATTTCAGTTTAATCCACCCAGTGCACCTCATTTCGGTGGCTCGTGGGAAAGAGAAGTGAGGTCTGTAAAGACAGCTTTAAGAACGACACTAGGCGCTCAGACAGTGACCGAGGAGGTATTAAGAACCATTCTGATTGAGGTTGAAAGCATCCTTAATTCTACAAACCCGATTCCAAAAAAGTTGGGACACTGTACAAATTGTGAGTAAAAAAAGAATGGAATAATTTAGAAATCTCATAAACTTATATTTTATTCACAATAGAATATAAATGACATATCAAATGTTGAAAGTGAGACATTTTGAATTGCCATGCCAAATATTGGCTCCTTTTGGATTTCATGAGAGCTACAAATTCCAAAAAAGTTGGGACAGGTAGCAATAAGAGGCCAGAAAAGTTAAATGTACATATAAGGAACAGCTGGAGGACCAATTTGCAACTTATTAGGTCAATTGGCAACATGATTGGGTATAAAAAGAGCCTCTCAGAGTGGCAGTGTCTCTCAGAAGTCAAGATGGGCAGAGGATCACCAATTCCCCCAATGCTGAGGCAAAAAATAGTGGAGCAATATCAGAAAGGAGTTTCTCAGAGAAAAATTGCAAAGAGTTTGAAGTTATCATCATTAACAGTGCATAATATCATCCAAAGATTCAGAGAATCTGGAACAATCTTCGGGCCCTTAGACGGCACTGCATCACACACAGGAATGCTACTGTAATGGAAATCACAACATGGGCTCAAGAATACTTCCTTTTTGAACACAATCCACCGTGCCATTCACCGTTGCCGGCTAAAACTCTATAGGTCAAAAAAGAAGCCATATCTAAACGGGAACCAGAAGCGCAGGCGTTTTCTCTGGGCCAAGGCTCATTTAAAGTGGACTCTAGCAAAGTGGAAAACTGTTCTGTGGTCAGACGAATCAAAATTTGAAGTTCTTTTTGGAAAACTGGGACGCCATGTCATCCGGATTAAAGAGAACAAAGGACAACCCAAGTTGTTATCAGCGCTCAGTTCAGAAGCCTGCATCTCTGATGGTATGGGGTTGCATGAGTGCGTGTGGCATGGGCAGCTTACACATCTGGAAAGGCACCATCAATGCTGAAAGGTATATCCAAGTTCTAGAACAACATATGCTCCCATCCAGACATCGTCTCTTTCAGGGAAGACCTTGTATTTTCCAACAAGACAATGCCAAACCACATACTGCATCAATTACAACATCATGGCTGCGTAGAAGAAGGATCCGGGTACTGAAATGGCCAGCCTGCAGTCCAGATCTTTCACCCATAGAAAACATTTGGCGCATCATAAAGAGGAAGATGCAACAAAGAAGACCTAAGACAGTTGAGCAGCTAGAAGCCTTTATTAGACAAGAATGGGACAACATTCCTATTCCTAAACTTGAGCAACTTGTCTCCTCAGTCCCCAGACGTTTGCAGACTGTTATTAAAAGAAGAGGGGATGCCACACAGTGGTAAAAATGGCATTGTCCCAACTTTTTTGAGATGTGTTGATGCCATGAAATTTAAAATCAACTTATGTTTCCCTTAAAAGTATGCATTTTCTCAGTTTAAACATTTGATATGTCATCTTTGTTGTATTCTAAATATAATATTGAAATTTCAAACTTCCACATCATTGCATTCTGTTTTTATTCACAATTTGTACAGTGTCCCAACTTTTATGGAATTCGGTTTGTAGACCCTTAGGTTATGTCTCTAGCGATATAGCAGATCCCGACCCAGTAACGCCAAATTCCTTGCTGATGGGGCGGCCTGACTCCTCTTTGCCTCAAGTGGTCTATTCAGACTCAGAATTACTCAGTAGGAAAAGATGGAGACATAGTCAGGTTCTGAGTGATCATTTTTGGAAGCATTTTATTCACGACTTCCTACCTACATTGCAGTCAAGGTAGAAATGGTACAGGGAGAAAGAGAATATTGCAGTTGGTACTGTAGTACTCATTGTTGATGAGCAGATTCCAAGAGCGCTTTGGAGAGTTGGTACTGTCTCTGCTGTCATTCCTAGTTCAGATGGAAGAGTCAGAAAAGCAGTGGTCAAAGTGAAAGATCAAACATACACAAGACCAGTAGCTAAGTTGATTGAATTACCAATATTACCCCCAGACTCAGAGAGTTCCTCATAGGCTTTACTAATGGCAAATTTGCATACCAAATTTGGGGGCGGCTGTGCAAAAGGCCATGGTTCTATTATATTTAGGTTCTTACTATAGTATAGTATAGTTGTACAGTGTTCCTTTCAAATGTTGCGTCTGATGAGTAGGCGGAGTTTGAATCGGAAGGCTCGCGAGTTCTGTGAGAAATATGCGAGATCTCATATATGCGGCAATAGAGGAAAGAAAGAAGAGATGCGGTGCGCGACGAGTTGTTGTGAGTAAATGCAGCAAGATGCATAAATATGCCATAAAGTTATAGCCATAAAGTTATAGATTGACAATAGAGCTGGTGAGCAGTTTGGTATTTCATAGGTGATTTGGCGGCTGATGTTATGTGATCGCTTCTGAGGTCGTTGGATTTCTGTGGTGAATACTCGTGCGTGCGTCATTGCAGACTAACCACACACACGTTTATATTTGTCCAGCTGACCATATCACATAAACCCATCATTCGAACACACAGTGAATATCTCAGTACACGAAGCTACAGGCCCTTTTGAACATCATCATTAACCCTATCAGGATCAGACGGCATTGCATCTGAGGACGACGTTTCTGCACCCTTTTTCATTAAGTGGACTTCCTACTTGGGACTTCTTAAGACTGAGTACACTTACTTATTACCACCACTTTGTTGCTCTTTCTGCATAGAGTTGTATCTTTTGAATACAATAATTGTTTTTATTTTTGTTTATTTTGCGTAGGCCTACGCTGATTATTGTTATATTTTTATTTGTTGACATTGTGAAAAATCTATTAATCAATACAGAGTGAATTTAATCTCTGGCTCTGGGTTTTATTCCTCTCCTAGTTACTGGACATCAATTGTGTATAAATACTCTAAGGTGATTTAGAACCGTAATAGCAATCAGTGCATTCTACAGACTTCAATGGGCTCTATGCACGGCGTTATTTCCGGTGAAGGATTAAGGATGCTCGATAACTTCCGCCGATCATAGAGTCCAATGCAATACCGAGAATTTATATTGAATTTTATACTCCATGGTTATACTAATGAAACGTTAGTCACAAAAACAGATAAAACAGACACCCCTCGTTGTGTTGTTGCTTCTTTTTAAAATTATATTAAATAAACATAACTATATATAAAATTACATCTAAACGTATGTACGTTTCGCTTCAAAGACGGGAGGACAGTAAATATTGAAGACTCTGCCATAATCCCGTTTTCTCCGGTTTTCCTCCGCTTTAATCTACACAACCGGAAATGGACGAGCATCCTTACGTCAAATGCGGAACTTATGCGTGCATATAGCCTATATATAATGCAGTGAATTCCCGCTCCCATTTGCTTCACAATCACATTAAAGAGAGACGCGCGTCACGATCTGAGCAGTGAACACTGCCGCGTCTCGCGCTCGCCATGCCGCCAGATTCAGAATCAGTGCACCATGTCGTTAACTTGAACTGCATTCTTAATAAGAAATTAGCACAGCTCGTTAATAAACAACGTTTTATGATTGATCCATTATACGATCCGTCTTCATTTGGCAAGTGCACTTCTTCCGCGAAAACATTTTTTTTGTGTGTGTGTGTGGATGCTGCTGATAAAACGAGTAGTATGAAGCTGCAGACTCGGAGACCTGCATCTACAGTCCCCCTGCACCCAGAGTCCCGCATTCTCAGACCCCTCGTTTTTCGAGTCAGCGCCTACTATCAAATTGTATCAGATAAACAGAACCTAAGCCAAAACGTGACTAGGCTGTCTTCAATTTTATTTAGAGAATCGTAATAGCTCGTTTGATTTATTTTTTAATAAAACTAATTTAGCTAATCGATACAACATAAGAATAGTCCATTTAATATTTGTAAAGGTAGTTTGTAACAAGATTTGAGCCGTTATGTTTTTTCGCCCTTTTTACCCCGAAAATATTTTGATAGCTAACGTTAGCCTTTAACCTCGGACTTTTTTATATGTCATAAATGCTGCAGTTATTTTTACTGCCCATTTTGTGCCCCCATATATCTCAAACCCACAAAGTTGTCCAAAGTTCAAAAACATCTCAAGGGACACTTCTACAGTCAGAGCAGTGCAACATGAATTTGAATTTTTTTTCTTTCTTTTTGAAAGATCATAAGACATGTGCTATCGTATCCAGTACACCATACATCGATGGAGTTGCCCCTTCCGATTCCAGCAACATATCATTTTATGATTATGCAAAGCGACTTATAAATGAGTTTTTTTAATGCAATTAAAGACGAAAAGTAAAGTCACGAACACGGTTTGTTCTTCCTTTTTTCTTTACAGTAAGATGATGTTTAGGTGATCATTAAATAAAGTAGCCTACTGAATTGTTTATTATTGGTGTTTTGTCTATTCTGATTTATTTTGCTTCGCATTCAAAATATCAAAAAACAGATTTTGTTATGTTAGCATGGTAATGTTAATTAGACCATTATAGGTTGAACTGAAAGAAAAAGTGGAATTTGAATTTTGAATAAAAAAAATATATAAAAAAACAAAACATTGTAGCAATAAAATATCACATAGACTATTTTTCAGAAGATAGTTCAATCTGTAATTGTATCCCTTCCATCAGTAACAATGAGTTTTTTGGCACCTGCATTAAGCAGGGAACGCAAATATTTATTGGATAATTTATTTGAAGACCGTAATATTGCATCCTATTGTTTTAATTGCATTTGGATAAGCGTGCACTGTACTCTGTGTGCGGGTGTTATTCGATCTTTTGAACAGCAGGAGGCGCTGTGTTCGAAAAATGAGGGGTCTGAGAATGGAGTAACCCCAGAGTGCACTCTGGACGATGGGGTGGGGCGACACTTTTGGGTGGAGCGACACGTGTCGCCCTGCCCCTATTTTCCTGTTCCCGCCTTTGACATTTTCCTCCGACCCCCTAGGGGGCAGTTTGCGATAAAAGGCAACGGTGGCAGCATTAACGAACGAACGACACTCCACGTTGATTGCGATTCCAAATGGTGAGTAAAAATGGTTGTGTAGTTTTATATAAACATATTTAAAAATGTACCATGATGTTCGTGAATCAAATCTGGAATAGTTTATCTTCTGAAAGAATGTCATGAATAAAGAATCTTGAAGAACTTGCTCTAATACAATAGCAATATGTTTAGTTTTTTTTAAAAGCTATGTTTATTTACGTTAATTATGTTTATTTTAAATCGAGAGCAATAAATTACTTTATTGTTAAACTTTAAATGAATTAATAATTTCTCCTTTTTTTATGAATAATTGTTGATTGTGTAGTGGGTCTGAGCGTACAGCACGAGCAAGCAACTGCAGCTCGGTAGCACAGAGGTTTGGAGCTGAATCCTGCATTAGAGAGAGCCCTGCATTGAAAGTGGAGATGTTTTGTCATACAGCAAAAAGACAAGATCCCACACAACTTCCGCTTCTTCAAACAGAGGTTAGACTTCTTGACAAAAACAGAGTATCACATATTTGTTTGGCATAATCCTCTCCATGTAGAGTAATCTGTTCTATCTGGTAATATCTTTATTGCTTTATAAGTATCTCTTCCAAACACGGAGACCAAAAACCAAATGGATAATAGGACCAAGCCAGCAGTTACACCTGAATCTAAACTTAAGTGTGGAAATGTCAAGAGTTCTACAGGTAACCGACTTGTAAACTTGTACCTCTTAGGGTTGCAGTGGTATGAGATTTTCACAGTACAAAAACAGTTTCAGAAATTATCGTGGTTTAATGGTATATGGTCCTGCTCAATCAAATGTCAGTCATTTTTAAATATATTATATTTAAAAAAATATTTTGCCATTGCATCATTTTTTACTCCTACTCCAATGACAATAAATATTATTACTTAATTATTTCTATCAGTCCTTTTACTTTAGTACAGCTTTTGGATATTCTGCCCACCTCTGCTGTCACACCACATAGCCTTGATTTTCAAAACTGCATTTACTGTTTGAATTGTGTGATAAAAGTAACATAATTTGAGACTTTTTGCTTTATTTTTGACTAGATACAAAGCTCATCACAGTTTACACTATTTATTGCATCCTTTCCATCCACAGAAACTGTGGATGGAAAGGATGCAATAAATAGTGTTTAGTTGGGCAACTACTGAAAATAGCATAGGCTAAAAAAATTGATCTCGGGATTTAAGATTTGAAATAGAGCAATAGTACATTACAGTACTGTAAATAATCAAATGTGTGAGATATTACTCTTTTAAGCATGAAACTGTCATACTGCTGCAACCCTAATATAATATACTGTATAAAAGTTAGTATGCATAGTGATCTTAAAACATTAGTCACATTAAAGTGCAGTAGTAAAGACTGAACTTTAAACATGTTGTTACATACTGATGGTAGGTTAAATTTTAATTGTTGTTGTAGTTAATTATTGTAAGTTATACCCTGTTAATTTTCTTGCACTTTGTGAATTGTACAGTACACTCTGTACATGGCTTTGGGGCTCCGATTTGATTTTACAGAGTTATGTCATTACCTCATTACATATTTCACGTTAAATAAACAGACATGCATAATTGTTTATTATTATTTAAAAAAATTCAGGATGACATGCCCCTGATCAGGAGGTGGTGGTGTGCTCTCATACTGGACAACTTCACTCTGCAAATGCATGTAGCTGTTTGCATGTTCCTACATTAAACATTAGTTTATGTACTACATCTACCAATATACATGCCTACCTCTTGTCATTTGTTTTTCTTAGCACTCAACCTTACAAAAGGCAATGTCTTCGGGGAGATTCAGACAGAGAGATTCAGGTAATTTATTGTGCACATACATTCATTAAGCAATTTCTTTGAATAGTGTTCTGGTAAAACCTCCATTTGTTGGTGAAACAATGGAGTTATTTGTCATTGTTCAAGACAGGCATGTTAAGGGAGGGCTTTAGTGAAGCGCTGCGGAGCTTCTGTCCTAACGGTGGAAACACAGTGTGATTTTGTGCTCGGTGATACAGGTCCAAGGCTATTAACACCGCCCGACCCTTGAAAGCCCTGGCCCACACTGGCCCGACAGCGGGGAAAGCGGCTAATGTGTGTTGGAGCGATATTATTTTAATATTATCGTTATAAGAGAATATTTATCTCTTTATTTATTATTTTATTCAGAGCATGCAGTTATGACAACAATATATCAGGTTTCTCTGAACCAAGGTTTATATTTTTTTCAACAACATTTATATACAAGTATAAATAACAATGTTTTTTGTTTCAACAGCTTCCCCATGAAATAATAGCAACTGGTGATTCTGCATATTTGACGCTTTCACTGGTATGCAGATGGTTTAGGGATGTGGTCACAAATGAAATTTTCCAGAAAGCAGCACACTTTGCCTGGCTAGACTGTAAGATGTTTTTTTTCTGTTCAATGTACATTTCTTGGATTGAAATTTGTGGTATGTGACATTTAAACTTGAATCTCCACACTTATATCTTTTCTGTATTTTGTCTTTACATTTTAAGGTGTGGTCAACTGGAAAAAAAATTCTCCAGACTACTGTGAGTTTCGCCGGATCTACAGCTTCAGGGAATGCTTGGAGCTTTTTTTAAGTCCTATCCACCAGGGTACAGGGGAAGAGGAAGACGAGGGGAACTGCTGGGCTTTTACTCCGAAGATCTTTGTACAGGATTTTGCTCGCAGGACTGTTTTTTTGCTGCAGGAAATGAATTTCTGTAAAACTCAAAACTTGTAGATTGGAATTGGCTTTATGCCCAGCTGCAGTACTTCCTGAACTTCAGCCAGCTCCTTGTTTCCTGTCTGCCATCATTGGCCAAATTGATTAATTCAGGCGTGTCTGATTATTGTTGCCATGACTACTGAGGTCAAGCACATCTGAATTAATCAATTTGACCAATAATGGCAGACAGGAAACAAGGAGCTGGCTGAAGTGCAGGAAGTAGTGCAGCTGGGCATAAAGCCCATTGAGAGATGAACTGGTTTTGATGTAGTAATTGATGCAACTAAAAGTTAAACTTAAAGGTCAAACTTGAAAAATTAGAATATTGTGCAAAAGTTCATGTTCAGTATTTCAAATTAAAAAGTGAAACTAATATATTTAGTATAAATAACTATTTATGCATATGGCATGATTATATATAATTTTCAGAGGGCTTACATTTTTGTAATATTCTGATTTTGTGAGATTTTGAATTTGATGTTCATCAAAATTATAACTTTTGCACAATATTAAAATTTTTCGAGTTTCACCTGTATAGTGTTCTATTGAAAAGCTATGGCAAAAACATAGGTTTCACTAATTGTGAATATGGTAAAGTACCTTGGTTCTTTAAGGTTTGCATAAATTCCATTCTGCTGATGCATAAGTGCAGTTTGGAGTCTATAATAAAGAAAAAGTGACAAAGTCTTTGTTTTGTTGTGTTCTTAAGAGCATGTATAGAAACTCCCTTATAAGTTTATTATAGTACAACCATTATTAATTACATTTATGTAAACGCACAAATACTATAATTACCATAGTTAATTTGTGATTACCATGGCTTTTTGGAGCTTTGATCAGTGAAGTTTAACAGCCGTAAATGTAATTAAAAAAAATGTTCGTAGGATCTTACGGAAACTCGTGGTTATTATCAGGTGAGACTGGTGACATGTCCGCTATAGTTTGCTCTCTCTCTCCCTCTCCCTCTCTCTCTCGCTATCTATCTATAGATAGAGAGCGAGATGTCATTAACTTACAAAAAAACAGTGAGTAATACAGAGGTAACGGACCATCTAACTTACTACAGCTGTTGAGGGAGTGATTGTGAATTAGACCATTATTTATATTCTCTTTGTATTTCTACTTCAATGGAATAATGTGGAATCGCATTAATGTCCGCAAAATCAACAAGTTTATTCGTCTGTTGTGTTCTTCCGCATTCCCAGCCGGCCTAAAGCGTCACACTTCTCTGCACCAATGATCTGTAATAGCGTCACACTTCTCTGCACCAATAAGATCATCTTTATTATAAACCAATAAACGTTAAGGTGGGCGGGGCTACACGTGTCGCTCCGCCCAAAAGTGTCGCCCCGCCCCATCGTCCAGAGTGCACTCTGGGGTACTACTCTGAGAATGCGGGACTCTCGGTGGGGGACTGTAGATGCATGCTCCGAGTCTGCAGCTTCATAATATTGGATAAAACAGCTTCGCCGAGACAAAGTGTGTTTGTTTGTTTCTTTTGTAAAAGTTTCCTGGATATAACTTCCCTATTTAATGCACAATTTTGCTTACAAATTATATTATCAGCATTACAATGTGAGTAATGTAGCCGTGTAAAATGTGAGAGATGATGCCACCCTAGAACAATGCATTTACGTTTAAATTGTAACATATTTAATATTAAAGTGTGTAATTAGTGTTAGCTCACTATCTTAGCCTTTTTCAGTGCATTAGTTGAGGTAATATGATAATATTAGTGATTCTCATTTAGCAAAACACTAACATTGGTACCGTTTTGGAGAGAAATTGGGTATTTTTTCATCTCTCTATTTAACCCATCTCTTGGTGTGTGATGCTGAACTATCATATGAGTTTCTAAAGGTTTTTGAATTCTTTGCACAGTTATGAATATTGATATTTTATGTGCAACAATAGCATGCTCAGGCCCAGTGGCTTGTCGCCTAATTTTAAATGCTTTTCCCCCAAATAATATGATTTAAATGGTGATGAGTGTACTGATTTGATGCATTTTAAAAAGATGGATGATAGATATTCTTCAATTTTTCTTACAAAGAACAAAATATAATGTGAATTACAGTATGTGCATTTTTTTTAATTTATAAAAGTAGTGCACAGTGTTTATTATAAGGGTTAGAATCTGCACCTCAGTACTCACTACTCTTGAGTACTTTTAAATAAGCTACTTTTTTACTCTTACTCAAGTACTATTTTGGACAAGTACTTTTTACTCTACTCACACTACATTTTTTGGAATGTAATGGTACTTTTACTAGAGTATGTTTTTTCAGTACTCTTTCCACCACTGCATGGGACATTGACGTGATGGCCATACCACAAACACTCCCTCCCTTCTTCTCACAGCTAGCCACGCCCTTTTAAGTTGCATTTTTCAAAAAGATTTTGAGCTAGATTTGAGCTGAAAGAGGGGGGTTTCATGACCCTTTAATGAAGCAATGAAACAGTTGAAGCAAATGTGCCATTTTGTTTCGACGCTTCGAATCAATCCGACACCCGTCTCCATGGAGACACCAAGTGGTCACTTGCAGGTGTTGATCTGAAACAACCTTTACAACGAGCCATTAAAAAATGTGTTGTTTTTTTATTATTGTATTTTTCTAATATATGAAGCTTGTAACCTGTAGTCTCTTCACATTGCATAATGAAAAATTAATATTAATAAAATAAATCAAGCCACCAAGTCAAGTCAAGTCACATTTATTTATATAGCGCTTTTCACAATACAGATTGTATCAAAGCAGCTTCACAGTGATAACATGAAAGTAGCACAACACAGATCAACAACATTGCTAAACACTAAATAACCCCAACTGAGCAAGCTCAAAGCAAGCCAAAACCAAGTCGACAGTGGCAAGGAACCAAAACTCCATCAGATTGGATGGAGAAAAAACCTTGGGAGAACCCAGGCTCAGTCGGGGGCCAGTTCTCCTCTGGCTTACATACATATTGTTTAAATATAAATATTAAATATAAATATTGTTTATGAATCAAACGGCGCCATAACATATCGCAGGCGTTGAGTCGTCTCTTCACAGGCGTTGAGTCGTCTCATCACAGGCGTTGGGGCATCCGAAATCCCCGTGAGAGGCTGGACACAAAACTGGACCTGACGAACGCCATTTTTCTCGGGACAAGCGTCACGAGATAACAGCAGAAAGGCAGATGGGAAATAATTAGCATAGCTGATGTTCATAATGATTTCCGTTATAACTCACAAACTCTCCGTAACCTGAACTCTCCGCAACCCAACCCTACGCGCCGACCCGTTTGTCTAAAAGGCTGTCGAGCCCCACTGGTGCGTTAAGCAGTTTCAGTGGCAAACGGTTCCGTATGGCATAACAGAGGACTAGAAGGTAAGCATTATGTGAATGCTTGACTAAAGAGAAGCGTCTTTAATCTAGTTTTAAACTGTGTCAGCGAGTCAGAGGCTCGGACCGTATCGGGAAGGCCATTCCAGAGTTTTGGAGCTAAATGCGAGAACGCCCTCCCTCCTTTACTGGACTTCGATATCCTAGGAATGACCAGAAGCCTTGAATTTAGTGATCTTAAGGAACGCGGTGGATTGTAGGGCGAGAGAAGGTCCGTTAAGTACATAGGTGCTAAACCATTTAGGGCTTTATAGGTCAGTAGTAGTATTTTGTAGTTGATGCGGAACTTAATAGGTAACCAGTGTAGAGATGATAAAATCGGTGTTATATGATCATATTTTCTTGACCTAGTAAGAACTCTAGCAGCTGCATTTTGTACTAACTGTAGCTTGTTTATTGAGGATGCAGGACAACCGGCTAATAAAGCATTACAGTAATCTAGTCTTGAGGTCATGAATGCATACTAATTTTTCAGCATCAGAAACAGATAGCATGTTACGTAGCTTAGCAATGTTTCTAAGGTGGAAAAAGGCTGTTCTTGTAACATATGAAATATGATCTTCGAAAGACAAGTTGCGGTCTAGTATAACACCCAGGTCTTTTACTGTAGTGGATAAAGTAACAGGACATCCGTCTATATTAAAGTTGTATTGTGAGAGGTTTTGTGAGTAGTTTTTTGGACCAATAAGTAATACCTCCGTTTTATCTGAATTTAATAGCAGGAAATTACGCGTCATCCAGCATTTTATATCTTTGAGACACTCTGTCATTTTAGATGAGTTAGTGTTTTCATCTGGTCGTGATGAAATATATAATTGAGTGTCGTCAGCGTAACAGTGGAAATTAATTCCATGTTTTCTTATAATATTACCAAGTGGCAGCATATATATTGAGAATAGCAGAGGGCCTAAAACCGATCCTTGCGGTACTCCATAGTCTACTGACGTTATCTTTGATTTTTTCCCATTTAAACAGACAAAATGAGAACGGTCCGATAAGTACGATCTAAACCAGCTTAATGCCTGTCCCTGGACACCGGTGAAGTTTTGTAGTCGATTCAAGAGTATTATATGATCTATAGTGTCGAACGCAGCGCTAAGATCAAGTAGGACTAGTATTGAGATACAGCCTTGGTCAGAAGCTAAAAGTAAATCATTTGTAATTTTAACTAGCGCAGTTTCTGTACTATGATGCGGTCTGAATCCTGACTGGAATTTTTCATAGATATCATTTTCTTGCAAAAAAGAGCACAATTGAGCGGACACTACTTTTTCAAGTATTTTGGACATAAATGGAAGATTTGAAATGGGTCTGTAATTTGCCAAGTTATTTGGATCTAATTGCGGTTTCTTAATGAGCGGTGAGACAATGTCTCACTTTCTTATAGATTTTTATTCAAAAATATAAATTTCTTTGCTGTTCTTTCTATTAATTATGTTGCGGCCACGAAAATGGCACTTACTTTGCAGAAAAAAACCCTGTTACAGTAGTCTGCCCCCGAGCTAGTGTGTGTGTCTGCCCCCGAGCCAGTGTGTGTGTCTGCCCCCGAGCCAGTGTGTGTGTCTGCCCCCGAGCTAGTGTGTGTGTCTGCCCCCGAGCTAGTGTGTGTGTCTGCCCCCGAGCTAGTGTGTGTGTCTGCCCCCGAGCTAGTGTGTGTGTCTGCCCCCGAGCTAGTGTGTGTGTCTGCCCCCGTGCCAGTGTGTGTGTCTGCCCCCGAACTAGTGTGTGTCTGCCCCCGAACTAGTGTGTGTCTGCCCCCGAACTAGTGTGTGTGTCTGCCCCCGAACTAGTGTGTGTCTGCCCCCGAACTAGTGTGTGTCTGCCCCCGAACTAGTGTGTGTGTCTGCCCCCGAACTAGTGTGTGTGTCTGCCCCCGAACCAGTGTGTGTGTCTGCCCCCGAACTAGTGTGTGTGTCTGCCCCCGAACTAGTGTGTGTCTGCCCCCGAACTAGTGTGTGTCTGCCCCCGAACTAGTGTGTGTGTCTGCCCCCGAACTAGTGTGTGTGTCTGCCCCCGAACTAGTGTGTGTGTCTGCCCCCGAACTAGTGTGTGTCTGCCCCCGAACTAGTGTGTGTGTCTGCCCCCGAACTAGTGTGTGTGTCTGCCCCGAACTAGTGTGTGTCTGCCCCGAACCAGTGTGTGTGTGTGCCCCCGAACTAGTGTGTGTGTCTGTCCCCGAACCAGTGTGTGTGTCTGCCCCGAACCATTGTGCGTGTCTCCCCCGAACCAGTGTGTGTGTCGGCCCCCGAGCCAATGTGTGTGTCGGCCCCCGAGCCAGTGTGTGCGTCTGCGCTCGAACCAGTGTGTGTGTCTGCCCCCGAACACACTGGTTCGGGGGCAGACACAAACACTGGCTCGGGGTAGACACACACACTGGCTCGGGGGCAGACACACACACTGGCTCGGGGCAGACACACACATTGGCTCGGGGCAGACACACACACCGGCTCGGTGGCAGACACACACATTGGCTCGGGGGCAGACACACACACTGGCTCGGGGGCAGACACACACACTGGCTCGGTGGCAGACACACACACCGGCTCGGGGGCAGACACACACATTGGCTCGGGGGCAGACCGACTGTTTTTTTTCTGTGTTGTTGTTGTTTTGTGCGTTGAGTTTTGATTAAGTTATATTAAACCTTGCTTTTGGCTCCTTCCCTGCTTGCCTCAAGCCATCCATTACGAAGAAAAATGATTGTCCAAATTAAACAGAAACAAATGAATTTTTGCCTGACCTCCAATTCCTGAATGCACTGTTTATCTGTCTCCACCTCTTTAAACTCGAGAAGCAGAGTCAGATTCTTCTTTCTTTTTTTCGCATGAAACATCATCACACTTCCAGAATTCCCTCAGTTCTTCAGTGACCTCTTTCTTCGGTGTTTCCACAGTTTTATATTCCCCTTTGTGCTGCAGAAATAAACAGACAACATATTATTAAGATTATGTTTTTGATTTATGATTATGTTTTATTTCCCCAACTGCTAACATCCTTTTGTCCAATCTGTAGTAACATTTTCAAAACTCTAAACTCTGTCTGGCCGACTTGGTCATTGTGCTCCCTTAGCTCTACTCCATTGGTGATCATTAAAGACTTTAAAGAGAAATAAATCTTTATTCTTCCAAACTTTTGATAAGTACTACTAGTGTACACGTGTAAACTCCTACATACATTTGTATATTTGTGTAATCAGTATTTTTGTAATCCATGATTTATTTATATTTGAATTGCACTGCATGTTTTAGGTTAATCCAATAATTATGATTTTGTAAACCAAGACATTTACTTGAACTCTATTCTCTTTTTCTTCTTTTTTTGTATTTTTCCTTTGCCCTAGCTTGTTGACTAATTCTAGTTTTTACTAAACCCATAAATATGGCACTATATATATGACAAATTGCTGGTGATGTTCCTCATTACTAAGTCATTTTGGATAACAGCATCTGCCAAATGAATAAATATAAACATAATAAAACCAGTACCTTTTTTTTTATTTGTTTGCAAATGTCCTCGTAGTCACGTCTCGCCTCAGCGCCAATCTTAGCGTAGTGCTTTCTAATGGAAAACATTACATCCTTCAAATACGCACTCTGCTGCTCGCACTGTGAAACAATCAGCTTCCTGGAAATGAAAAGAAATAACACAGATGTTACTATATTGGCTCAATCCTTCGCAATGCATTTTCATGTCCCCATTTAGATATTTTGTATACAATATAATACTGTTTTTTGTGTGTAATCCTGTTCATGACATCACTTTTGGTGGGAAAACAGTGTAAACATCATTGTCTATTCAGCATTTTCTAAAGTTAAAAGGTATATCCTAAAAAGAATGACCTGATTTAAATTGTCAGGAACTGGTAAACTGGCCAGCCCTTGAAAACAAAACACTACTTTTGTGTGATTGTTTGTGTGTGTTACCTCTCGGTATAATACTCTGAGCGAAGTTCTTCGAGTCTGGTTTTGAAGTCGAGCGCTTGTTCTTTCACCTGACTCAAATGAAACTTTAACAGATTGTCCCTGGTCTGCTGATGAGAAGTACGCTCCATCTCCGACAGCTCATTCACAAAACTCTGTAAAACACACACACACATTTGTTACTCCAAGGCTCTGTAATGAAAGTTGTAGAAGTAAAACTGAGAGTCAAGTATATATATATATATATATATATATATATATGTGTTATATGTAGTCACCTTAATGAGGTTGTCTTGGTCTCTAAGGACTCTCTCAAATCTCTGGCTGAGGTTTGAGCTGTCATCTCGGGAAGAGCCGGGGATAGGAGGAAGCTTGACACATTGCCCTTGGCTGGACATCCGGGACCTTTCTCTCAGCACAATTCTGTTATGGAAACTCCGAGTGATCTCCTGTTGATGATACATAAGAATAAGAAAACACTTTAATACAATGCTCAACATATGAACGCAAGCTTAGTGTTAATAATGACCAATGATGGTTGAAAAAACACAGTGAATCCTATGATAGCCTTCTTACTTACCCTCTTCATCTCAATTTCTTCTGGGCATTGTTGAGGCGCTGGTCGTTGTCTCAGCCTAGGAGGTGGTTGAGGTCGCAATGTAGACGGTGGTTGAGGTCGCAGTTTAGATGGTGGTTGAGGTCGCAGTTTAGACGGTGGTTGAGGTTGTAGTGTAGGCATGTCTAAACCACTCTTAAGTTGTCCAGGACTATTACGTTCCAGGGGCCTGAGACTGCGAAATGTTTTACTATTCATGACGTAAAATAGTACGTTGATCCAAAATCCGACAGGTCAAATTGTATGATCTGAAACCGTACACAGCTGTATTGTGCAATTCAACTGTAATTTAAAAAAACAGACTCAAACAGATATAAAATTGCACACTAATCAATAGCTGTAGACTATAAAACTGCACTCTAATCAACAGCTGTAGACTGTAGACAACAAGTCACGAGTTTCAGTAAAGTACAGAGGTTTGCAGCGTCTAGTACTGTGACGTGTCGAATAGAATGCATTCCGATGACGTCCGGCAGCAGCAGTGCGTCAGAGCCGCAGAAATTCAAGGTTGTTTTGATTTAAAAACTTTAAGAGAGAATGACCTGTCAGCACAATAAGTCCATGAGAGGAATGTAGATAAGGCTACTTGTAGTAATAATACATAGCCTATATATTTTGTGTCACTAAACTGTAGAGCATCAACCACAAGTTTCTGCACGGCCCTAACTAACTAACCCAAAGCACGTTACACGATGAAGGTTGAGTCCAACAATAATTCAGTTTACTGACTTTCTCTCACCGACGACGTCTTGTTGAGCTTTTCTATTACATCGAGACGAGCTCTGATTCCGATTGATCTTACTTTAACGTCCGTTGCTCGTGTCTCCCGTGATCATGATAAATGTTTTGCCTTGGAAAACCGTTAGCCTATAAAGAATACGCCTACAATTTGGCGCGTTGAGTCAGAATGTCAATAAGGAATAGAAATACACAAACAATGACATAAAAAGTAAATACATATGAAATAATACAAATGCTAAAAAATAACGTCTGATAACATGAAGGTTCGGATCCGACTCAGATAATATTGTCACTCGCACAATGTCAGTACTGTGACTGTCTAATGTATAATATCAAAATAAAAGCCCTCTAACAGCTGTTTTGTCGATCAAACCAGACTGTAAAAAGAAAACTCAGCATTCCCTGCGCTGACCAATTTCCCTCCAGATTGATATACCCCTCCTCAGAGTCAGAAATAACCACAAATACATCAAAAAATATTTTGCTACAAATTACAAATACATGATCATCAAATGTATCAAAATAAAATACAAAATTTTATCACAATTTTATCATCAAATGGCCTGTGTTATTGGCTCCGTAACATGCATAAGCTAATTATATTTGACTGAATGCCTGCTTTGAAATATTTGACTTTATGCTCCGAACACTATGAACATTATGAACTATGAACATTATGAACACTAACGAGGTGAAGACAGGTGACACAGATGA